TTACACAATGTCCGCCCTTTACCCCCACGAAGATTCCTGGTACTCATTTCTGTTAGAAGCTAAGTCGACCCCATGGCTACAGTGCAGCTGGAAGAATTAGGTCAACTGAAAAATCCAATAACCTCTTCCTACTGGCTTGTAGCAAAGTGCTTTAACCAACTATGCTACCACATGCCCCCAAATGAAATATCTAAGCATTAGGAATTCATCATTTATTCAACTTTTTTTTCCTCCTTGGCACTACAGCCCCAGTGGGCCTAGGCCTACCTCCATGAACTTCTCCGTTCACTTCGGTTTTTGTAGATCTTACACATACAGTAGGACTCCTTGGGCGAGTGATCAGCTCGTCACAAGGCCTCTACCTGTAGACAAACACAGAAAAATGCACACAAACATCCATGCCCTGAGTGGGATTCAAACCCACGATCCTGGCTTCCAAGCGAGCGAAGACAGTGCATGCCTTAGACCGCTCGGCTACTGTGACCAGCTATTTATTCAACATACCCCAAAAAAATACATCTCCAGAGGTCTGAAGTAAGTTTCATGTGAATGAAAAATGTGATGTGTATTGCTAAGTGTAAAGAATTTGCTGTCAGGAAGTTCATAAGTATTGGAACAAATAAGCAACTTATGTGTGCTAAAAGTAGGTGTATCATATAGAATACAGAAGTTTACTTCAAAGCAAAGAAATAGATATATGAAGAAAGCAGTCTTCTGGGATTTGGCACCGTGTATATGTGGTGTTAACCGACGTTTCGGAGGAACGTATCGCCTCCATCTTCAGGATTGAAGAAAAAATATAAGAAATCCGCAAGTGAAGAGACCTTGAGAACTGGTAAAAGCAGACCAGTGTGTGTGTGTGTGTGTGTGTCAAAATCCTGCACCAAATCATAATGCAACAATTGTTTGTAAATCTTTTAAAAGTCTGAAGTTAAAAATTTTTGAAAATGGGTTTCATGATGGAATTGAGAAAATGAAATCTAAAAACAAATACTACCACTCAGTGCACAGCCTATCACTCCCCCACAAAAAGTAAAACCTAAAACACATAAAACCACCATTTTACCGTGTTTTGAATGAATAACACTTTCTTGCACATCAGTGTGTGCAAATAAGTAAAAGAGGTAAACCTGTCTACTTAAGCACTATGCCATGAAGGCATATTGTGGAGTGGGTGTATAGATCCATTTATTCTTGACCTCAGCACCCCCAGTACCCATGGGATGAGGGGGCCCAGAACCTGTCTGGACAACATGAAGAAGAGAAAAATCTTGCACCTATCAGGCCTCAAACTCTGTCCTCTCAGCCATCCAACCTGTACCCAGCTCCCAGGGGAGAAAATATTGAAGATATCTGCAGACAAAATCTGTTATGTAAAGAAGGTGAACTAATATGAGACTGGAGAAAATTACACAAGGAAAATTTTCATAATTTGTACTCTTCGGCTTGTGTTATTTGGTTGGAGAAATGAAGTTGAGATGAGTGCCATACAGAGTACAGAAAGGCACATAAATTTAAGAGTCTGGTGAAAACCTCATGAAAGATGAACTCTTGGGAAACTAAACTGTAGAGAGTACAATATATATCACCCACATGCACAGTGAAAATCCCATTCAAGGTTTCTTTTAAGAAGCAATGGATTTGAACACTAAACTGGGGAAAATGTACAATGAAGGAAATTTTTACTCATGGTCTATGAAAGTGAACATTAAATGGGAGGAAACGTTAAATTTATTAATATTAAATGGGATATCCACTGTGCGTATGCACTCATGTGCATTTGTGTATGTATATATAAACATTCCTTACTGTGTGACGAGTCAAGTGCTGGGTCACAGATAAAGTGATAAAAGACAGAGACTGATGTGATGTCCAGTCAGGATTATCACATGCCTCTAGCAAAAGTGACAGATAAGCATTGAGCAATGGTAGATGTATGTTACAAAACCTGGCAGAATGTGTACAGGCTTTGTATGTATTGGAGAGACCCTGTACCAACCAGCAATATCTTTCAACAATAATCCCAACTCTACATATTTTATGTGACATGTTGTATTATAAACATGTTTAACATGAACATTTTAACTGATTTTCTTTCTATACATGGTAATCATGTTAACACTGGTCAACTGCTGCTTTAATGTTATGATCAAGAGGGCTCTAGTTAAACTAAACAGGGCACCAGACCTCACATTCTACACAAGCAATGATTTTATCACCTACAACATTAACCTTTAAATGGTTGTTGGGTGAGCTGGAAGGTGTTTATTTAAATGTCTGTTGCTGTTGCACCATTTAAATAATTGTAAGCATTTTATTAAAAATGCTGTATCTAATAAAATTTTTATGGTAAAGGAATGGTATTAACTTTGCTTTCATCAACAAAGAACACAGTGTCACACATTATAACATAAGTTTTGAAAACGTTTAGACAAAAAAGTTATACTCTTAATTTTCTTATGGGTACTGTACAAAAGCTTTTACTGCTTCTTCACAGTGGTTCTGCATTATAAAATCATTCCTGCTTATAAAATCTGACATACTTATACAGTATCTGGTGTAATCAAGCAGGTGGAAACACAAACAACCGAGGTTTGTTTTTCTGATTGTAACTTTGAGATCTCTGCTACACTCTCCAGATATTCGAGTCTGTTGACTAAAGGGAAAGAAAAGTGAAAGTATGGGAATTCGAGAGAGAGACTAGAGAGAAAATTCTTTGTTTTGTACAATAGTCCCTGGCTCTTCCATTGAAGCTGCAAAATAATAATATCCTTTCTATGGTCACAATCAAAAGCTTGCATCAAAATTGAAAAGCAGCTGAACTGCAAGAAATGTGTTGTGGGGCTGTGCATACTCAGGTGCTTTGAGGAGTACCACACAAAGGCAAGATTCTGTTAGATGGCCGAGGGGGAGAAGCCTATATATACATCAAGCATATAAAAAATAGTATGTACATTAAATTTTATTATATTTAAAAATAATTATTTCAGATTGTTTGCGCGCTTCTAATAAATGCCCAAATATGTGTACTTCGGCCACAAGGAACATACCTTTCGGTGTACCAATATGTGAACTTCAAACATAAAAGGTTAAGATGGGCGTGAAACTTTGACACAGTGATCACCACTATTTTTGTAAACCACAAATCATTGTAAACTGATTAGCATAAAGCTGGCACCTCTGCAACATGTTCTAGCATTAAACACAATTACTGCTCCAAATTTTACCAAAATGACTGGTCTCATTCTTACTACACAAGCTTCTAAGCATAAACATCAGTATTTTGTTCCTAATCCAGTCCCAAGGTGGGTGAGATTTATTGGTAATAAAATCCACTAATTCTTATTACCATGAGTTGACAACATACTACATCATGAACCTATACCAGTTTTCTATAAAGTGTGCCTTAGCAGTCAGTAACATGGGTATCTGAACTGATACGAAGTATTATATTTCATTCGATTACAATATGTCATCAAGATTACAGCCAAATCAGTCACTCAACAGGTAAACAAATTAGTATTCATGAACACATTTACTCAGTACTTTGGTAAATATTTCAATCTGATACAAATAAGTGCGCAATTGAAGTTATTACATATGAAGGAACATCATAATTTATATCAGTCACCTCATTTCTTAGGACAGTGAGATCTACAAGGCTTAAATGGAACAGGCAAGTGGCAAGAATGGGGGAGACAAGGAAGCCATATATATTTTTGATGATGAAACCTGTTGGGATATATCCATTCGGAACACCAAGGAGGAGATGGAAGGATATTAAGTAAGCTGTAAGAAGAGGAGGTGGATGGAACTGGTACAGGACCATGGGTTTTGGTATTATTGGTGTTGAACTTTTAGCACTACTTAGTAACTGATCTACTGGAAAAAGAACAGAATGTCAATGAGATTCTGATAGTTGTTGTGATGAGACAGAAACAAAATGGAAGAAGTTATATAAGAACAGAAAGTATGATCATGTATGGGCAAGGCTTTCTAGTTGAAACTCTCTTTCATCCTCCAGAAACATTTGAAACTACATGAAAAAGTACTTCTTCGAAACAGTGATATCTGTGCCAACAGCACTATAATTTTCTGAATGTAAACAATAAAATGCTTTTGTTGGGGGGAAAAATGAGAATGTATGATTTAACACTCCATAGTTTACAGATACTATGTGCTCTTTTTTTGCTCTGGATATTTTGATGCCTGCAGAAAGCACACACCAGTGACTAGAGGAACCACAACCCAACACTAGCACTACTGAAATGAACACAGAGTTTAAAGAAGGAAATGTACTAGAAAGTTAAATTTTATGGGTTTCTAATTTATGTTAAAAAAAAAGTAAAGGTATCCCTGTAACAGGCCGTGGGGGCCCACAGGGTTGTGTGATGTTGAGGTTCCCACATTTTCTAGACAATTGGCTCATAGATGGCAGTAAGGTCGTCAGCCTTATGCGCTGGCCACCCTTTACCACCAAGAATATTCCTGGTACTCATTTCTGTTCGACCCCAGGGCCATAGTGCAGCTGGAAGTATTAGGTATATTAAAAAAAATCCACCTCATCGGGATTTCATCCTGTGACCTTCCGGCCTGTAGCAAAGTGCCTCAACCAACTATGATACTGCATGCCCCTGCTAATTTATGTACATAATTTAATAGCAATCAACTGAAAACATACCTAACACACTGATATTTTCAAAATAAACATCCTTCAAAGCATAATCAGACTTAACTTTCTGGACTGTGTGTGAAGTGTGAACACTTTGAAGGTTATCACTTCCTACCTCTTCTTTCTGTTATGCCATTAAATAAAATCGTTTTACTTCAGAAACCTAAAAGGAGGAAAGACATTAAGAAAATTATCTTTATCCATTTGCATATATAAACAGAGGGATCAGCATTCTTTATCGACTGAGAGCTGCACAAGATACAGAAACTATGAAGCGTAACTCCATCTGAACCTTTCTATCAGTATTATCGAGCTGGTATCACAAATTCATTCCTGCACTCTCTTTGTGAGGATATACACATGAGATAAAACCTCCTGAGTCTAAGAACTTCTGAGCACTCTACATATGGAGCTCTCTCTTCTTTCCAACATCAAGTTTACATACAACATTAAAATAATACTTGGAACATAATGTATTCTTTAATTTTAATACTAAGTATTTCAAATAGATGTGAAGAGTAAAATCCAATGGCTGAAATAACTGTGACAAGAAAACTTATAAAATATTCTTTCATTTATAATAATCATCACTTTGCCCTGCTCAAACCACAATACACAGACTTCAAAATTCAATTATTCTACAACTGAAGCCAATGTGTTGGATTCCTTAATACAGACATAGTTAGGTTCTTCTTTACCTCCAGAAATGGATACACTATTAATAAGAAAGCAGCCAAAACTACACAGATGAGCGTAATTTTCGAACTGGTCTTCTGTTCAAAACAGTTAGGGATCCATAAACTACAGGCCACCATCAATAATTCTTCTTCTTCTCACAATTTCAATTACAGGCTTACATATATCACAGATCATAACTACATAAATATATCTGCTTCTGACACATGCAGGAAAATATTTCAAAATCCATACGGATACAGCTACCATAAATAATGATACCATAAAAATGTTTTGAATACTGAGGTCCCCAAATTCCAAACATTTTCCAATTTAGTAAATACTTGAGGACAATTATTACATCACAAGTATGAAAACATCAGGAAGCAAGAGGACAAATAATTTTAAATTACAAACCACAAGAAAAGATGGAAATTGGAAGACCGGTAAAAGAACAGACTGAATAAACAAAGAGTTTAAAGGGTAAAGAACACGCTACTGGGCCTAATCCATAAAGTGGTGGTTTTATTGGCGATGACAGTGATGATGATGATTAATTATTGAGGACCAATAAGTATGTAAAATCACAAGCAATGAATACTCATCCAGGAATATACCTTACCCTTTTGTGACAATCCTCATCAAGTGACACTGCTCAATACTCTTTTCTCAAAAAAAATCTATCAGAACAGATGTTATAAGCATACTGACAGTGAAGCTTTCCATTATACACCTAAAAATTAAGTAACACTGTAAACAGAATGAATGCAGACAGCAGTCAAGTAGTTAGCACTCCTGTTTTGTATTTGTGAGGTCACAGGTTTGAATCAAGGTCTAAAAACTTGAAATCCTTCCTGAGGTGTATTAGAGCCAAATTCTGGGGCCATATCTTTACCCACCCTTCCAAATTCTTTTCAATTCATCATTCACACAAACATCCTACCATTCAACATTAATAACCTAAGCAGTTTAAAAATAACTGCTAAATTAGCAAAGAATCATTCCTTCAATCAATCAATACTGTGATGATGAGGTTTCCTTATAATTTATATATAACAGAGAGAGCAGACACATTTATATTCTCAAAAAGTAAAACTCCCTAATTTAAAAATTCTCTTGAAACATTTACGTAAAAATAAAAGTAAACTATACCGTCGTAAACATATTTCTTAATTGTGACACGTAACTGCTGGGATGTCCAGTTTCAGGACATGTGACAGCCACTTATGGTGTTGCTTGGCAAGTCGCTGCTGGTGTAATTCATCTGGCCGACAGTTGCTGATCAGCTTCACTTCATGCCATATCATGGCTCCTTGGAGATTACACAAATATCTGTCCAAAGCAGCAAGCTCCTCAGAACTAAGCTTCTGGTCTTTTTCCAATGGAACACCATCCACATTCATGTGGTTGCTAGGCTTGTCCTTGTTCAGGGCAGACACTCCTTCACTAGACTTCTCAGCACATCTGTTCCTTATTGCAGACACTTTACTACACCTACAGCCCCCGATACCATTCATGTCTGCTCTCCTAGAAGTCAGAAACTTCTTGAAAGACATGAGCAAATACCTGCGATGGCACCATAGTGCTTCATGCCCTGCAAACCTCAGAATAAGATCTGTATTCAAAAGAAGTTCAGAAGCAATCAATCCCACAGCCTTAATTAGAGCAGACTGCACAGTATCAATAGTGTCCTCACTCCAACTGCAGGACAGGAACTGCAGTATTGACTTTCGTGCCTTCTCTGTGACATCATCACTGACAAACTGCTTGAGCTCCAGCAAATGGTTCAACAGAAACTGTCGGTACTGCAGCCCACTATGGTCTGACACATGACTCGACACCCATGCTTCAGAGGAACTCCATTCTTTTAGGAGAGGAGCACTAGCAAAGGAAGCAAGGTGAGTCAGACACCACATTCTATGACTCCATGCATGGTAATTGTTGGGGTAGCGATCAGCTGCATATTGTGATACTTGCAGCTCCTTTTCTAGCAGCTCATCCTTATCTGCATCAGCTGTAAAATAAAATACTTCCTCTCAAACACTTCATAATTACATAAACCAGGAAGTTTCAGATTTGTTGTCTAGATTCAAAATAGGATTGATAGAGAAGGCTGTGGAAATAATACATGAGTCAATGGCACTAAGAGTTCTTCTTGTGTTAAATGTGAAGATTATGCAAATGCTCATCTTAGAACCTGAAAAAATTGAAATTTTGGCCCAGACTTTTGCAATATGTGGCATCTGTCTCCAATCAACATAACAGTCCAGTTTCCACACAGTCCTGACACTGACAGTGCCATTAAATAATCAATAAATAACAATGGCAGTTTTAAAGCCAAGCATGGTATAACTCTCTGGCAAATCAACATGACGCCCTGAATATATTACCAAATTTTCTATAGAAGCTTACTGCTGAAAGTATTAAAATACAGTCAGCTTTCAGGTTTCAGGGCTTCTGACTCTCCCAAAATCATCTATTCATTTTTATTCTACAGTGCAACTCTTTCAGAGCTATCTTGAGGCCATTGGGCTCCTCAGGCAGAAGAGACAATCCACACATCAACTTCAGCTGCAGAGATTCATAATGGTAGCAGTCTCAGCAAACCAGCAGCCTGTACATGTCACATTTGACCTCAATATTACCCCAGTAAACTGGTGAACAGCAACAGCGACATAAATTATGTCAGTGTGTTCTAGCTGACCATATACTGCGCACAGCTACACATTAAACATTCAATGAGGTATGTTATTATCGTGTTGAAATACAACATGCAAAACACAAATCTGCAACAAGTGTTCATGTATGATGCCTGCGTGAAAAGTGTATGTGCAATAAAAGTAAGAAAATTCACGTGTAAATTGCATGTGATGTCACAGTTCCAAACAGAAAACAATTCATAGCATTGTAAATAAACTAATTAAAGTTATCAGTGAACAATATGAAAAAACCAAATCAAAATGCAACATGCTCACTGAAGATAAACCAGATGAAATTGGTGCTAGACTTCAACATTCTCCTCAAAAATTCCTTACTGCCTTGCATGAAATGCCAGGTTTTCAAAAGCATCAGCACGAACTGCCATAAATTCCTGAAACTGATGCCATATAAGACAAAAGTGGTCAGACACAACATAACATATAAGCTTAGTGACTTATCGGAATGGTTCTGAAGAGAAACTGCAATGTGTACAGGCTCTTGGTTTGTTGAGTCTGAATCTTATAATCCAAGTCGACACAAAGGTCATCTGTCTCTCCAACCTGAGCAATTATGACGAAGCTCTCAGACAACTGTACCATAGTTCGCAATACAAAGTGTAAACCGGCATCTGCCACATCAAGACAAAGGACGCAAATTAAGACTCACTGAAAGTCCTCTACAGTAAGTACTGGGAATTAATCTGCATTTTTACAGACTTAAATTTAGAGTTACTGAATTGAACAAAAGATTCTCATTTCATCTGCGTTTACATGTAACAAGATCACTAAAAATAGTAGTAACAACACTACGCACCTAGCAACAGCCTTTTGACCACCCACTTACGGTGAGCAAATGCCTCAGCACATTTTGGCTTTCGAGACAACAGTACAGCTGTGAAGTGAAGCTCTCCTTGCATGTCCAGTCTGCTGGCTTGTAGCAGCTCTCGGCGCATATTCCAGAAAGTTGTCACATCAGGATTGAGCAAGAGGGCACCTGACAGCAAACGTGCCAACAATGCAGGATCTGAAGCAAACAAACCTTAATCTCATCTTAAAAACAGCAAAGTAGCAATAGTGGTTCATATTGTTCAGTCATACTGCAGACCAAGTCACAAAATGATACAAAATTACAAAGTTCTAATTTATGACAATTTATAATTTACAAGGGTTGGATAAAAAGTAGTGGAAACACTGCTGTAACATGAAAGATGTGTTTCAGGTGGCACTAGCGCCATCTGTAGCTGATAGCAGAAGTTCAGTTGAAATAGCGCAGTGAGTGGCTCTGGTTGTTTCACTGAGTTGCATTCTGCATCGTCTTGAAGTGCAGGAGCCCAGTTCAAGCACACTAACATGTTTACGAAACAAGAACGCTCCTGAATAAAAACTGAAGTTGTACGAGGTCATAGTGCACAAAACTGTTATCAGGGACTGCAAGAAGAATGTGGTGATGCTGCTTTGCCATATCACACAGTGGCACGGTGGGGGAAACTGTTCCATGAAGGGAGGGATGCCCTTCAGGACAGCCATTGTTTAGGATGACCCAATGATGACAACCAGTCAATTCAGATTCTTGCTTCTTTGCTGGATGTCAATCATCGATGGGCTGCATGGGAGTTAGCTGCTGAGGTAGGCGTATGTCACAAAACTGTGCTCCACATTCTGCACAATATTCTTGGATACCACAAAATTGCAACACGTTGGGTACCCCATACAATGTCCGAGGTGCAACAGTGGTAACATTATGCAATTGCACAGGACTTCTTGGACCAGTACCAGAGGGAAGATGATGACTTCCTTAGAAGGATCGTCATTCTGGACGAAACTTGGGCTTGCTCATATGAACTGCACTTGATGCAACAATCAAATGAATGGAAGCATCCTGGCTCTCCTCGTTCAAAGAAAGTGTGCCTATGGCAGAGTATTAAATAGCTTGACACATGAATAATACACCCCTCTGATAGGATGATAAATGTGTTGAAGGTACATGAAGGTGGTCATTCCTTCTGGTACCAATCACATATAGAGAGTTATTGGTTTGAAACTTATCAAAATTATTAACATAAGTATATCATCAGTGAGAGCAAATATACACATGGGATTGGCAGTATGTCAAGCTTTTTAAATAAGCCTCTACATGTATGAGTTGGGCCCACTCCCATCATTATTCTTATTATTATTTTCTTTTGTATAACAAAGACCTTATGACTGTCTGATGTATTTCCCCAATATATTATTCCATATTTCATCAATGAATGATAATATGCATAATATACAGCTTTAAGACTATTTATATTTAATATATAGGATAATTTACGCATTAGAAAACCAACTGTGCTCAACCTGTGAAGCAAAGAATCAATATGTCCCTTACAAGTCAGATGATTGTCCGGCTGCAAACCGATAAATTTTATCGTTTCTACTTCTTTCAGATTTTTGTTAAAAAAAATGTACAGAGGGTAGCTCGTGGCTGCTGTTGAGGTGAATAATTAATAATTCAGCACTACGCCATGAAGACGTATGGTAGAGCGGATGTATAGACCCACATTTTCTTGACCTTAGCACTAGCTGGGGGTAAGTGGTCAGTTTCACACTCCCAGCTGCTTTACCCCCAGGGAAAGAGCCCCCAATACCCATTGGACAGGAACTTGGGTAGGCCCAAGATCCAGTCTGCAGAACATGGAGACGTCAATATACTTGTTCCCACCAGGACTTGAACTCCAATCCCTTGGTCATCCAGCCCATAGCCAGTCACTATACTGACTGCACTATTCCAAATCCTCGTCATAATTCAAATGTTGATTTATCAGTCTTCAACTTGAAGGATTTTCATATAGTGCTGCTGCTCTGTGAAGTGGCATGCAAAACTACCCAATCCACCAGAATCATAACAGGGGGCAATGTCTTCATGAATTACCATGTAAGTATAATATGTCTCTTTCACTCCTTCTGTCCATGGGGGAAAAGACATGGCCCTAGAAATCATTATCTTAAAATATAAATATTTATGTATATAATATTATATTTAAGCATCATGTTGCACCTTATACAATATATGATATAACTCCGTCCTAAGTGCAAACTATATTTATAGGAAGAAAGCAGTCTTCTGGGATTTGGCACCGTGTATATGTGGTGTTAACAGATGTTTCGGAGGAACGTATCGCCTCCATCTTCAGGGTAGGTCTGTAGTGCTGCAGCAGCTTCTTCTTGTTTCTAGTACTGTATAGGTGTTATTCTGTGTAGTCTTCTTTACTACGTAGTAAAGATAACCAGCGGCACACACACACAAGAAGACTACACAGAATAACACCTATACAATACTAGAAACAAGAAGCCGCTGCAGCACTATAGACATCGGGCGAGTAACCCTAACATTCTTAAAATTTAAAATTTAGAGAAAAAATTTTTAAAGGATTTTAAATTAGAACCGAAGATTTTATAAGTGCTAATCAAGAAGACATATGTTTTTAAATTTTAAATGTTATAAATAAGTGCAGTGTAACAGATACGTGAGTGTATACACCTGATGATGGCCGTTTGGGGCCGAAACATGTAGTGTATAAAGAAGAACAAAACGAAAGACCTATATATATAGTTTGCATTTATGTATATCTTTGATTGTAACAGATTAAGCAGTAGAATGCAAAGGTTTGTGAAGAAGTAGCTAGTGTTATAAACTGTGACTGTGGAGAAAGAAAAAGGAACTGCTCTATTGAGAAAATCCTTGTTTTCATCTCAATCCTTGAATTGTTTCCAAATATTTATATACTCATTTATATATTCATTCATCAGTAATCTGTCAGACGACAGGTCCACAGTCTCTTCCAAAACAGTTCCTCCACTTAATGCGACCTTCTGTTTTTGGAAAGAGACTCATCCCCTCACTTGGAGGATTCGTGTATATATATATACAAAAAATTAACACTCGTCTCATAGTTGCCTTTCATTAAAATCTTGTGACACACGGTTTTTCATGTTTTCTGAAAAAAGGGGCCATCTCACATTTGAGATCCCCCTAAATTGTCAACTGACTAACTACACAGAGATTAGCCAATCTTGAGAAGCTGCCAGTTCCACAGCTACTCAAGAGTTTCCCATGGAGCTCAAAAGTTCACTACCATGTTTACAAGAGCCTTCCACCAGTCCCTATCCTGAGCCATATACATCCAGTTCATATCACCCCATCCCAACCCTCTAAAATCCATTTTAATACTATCCCCACACCTATGTCTGTCTTCCTAGTGGTCTCTTTCCTTCTGGCTTTTCTTCCAAAATCCTACGTGATTCTCTTCTTTCCCCATGCATGCTACATGCTACAATACAGTTGGCGAAGAATACAAGTTATGAAGCTCCTCACTATGCATTTTTCTCCAACCTCCTCTTGCTAAAATTCATCTTCAGTCCAAATATTCTCCTCAGCATCTTGTTCTCTAACACTCTCAGTTTATGTTCCTTCCTTAATGTCAAGAGGCCACGTTTCACACTTACACAAAACAACTGGCTAAACTATAGTTTTGTATATTGTCATTTTTATGTTTTTAGGCAACAAACAAGAAGACAAAAGATTCTGTACTAAATGGCAGCAAGCACTACCCAAATTCAATCTTCTCTTAATTTCCTCCTGAATCAAATTTTGATTTCTTATTGTCATTTTTAAACATTTGAACTGTACCACATTTTCCAAGGATCTATTAGCTAACCATTTAACCAAAAAATCAACCATTGTCAGATGTCCACCACTTATTATTCAATATATTTGCAGCTACCCTCCATATCTGTAGGCCATCTCCTCCATCTGTGACCTGAGGACATGCCGTGCCGTGCTGTGCCATGCCATGGTGACAATGGACCACATAACACAGGTCAGTAATGTAAGTACTGAATACTAACATGTGAGCAACCCCAAGCACTCAGACCACTAAAGGATCCACTGTGCATCCATGTTTTCACCAGGGCCCTTCAAAAGAGCCTGTCCTCAATGCCAGAATCACAACCTGTTTGCCATACAGTAATATTCCCTTAAATAGTTTTTTTGTTATCAAAAATGCATTTTTTCCTGAAAGCTATGATTTCAGTAACCTCTGAACAATTCCATCACATTGCTACAGGAGTTAAACCAACTTCATGGAGGCTGAGTGCTTCTAGCACTTATGGTTTGCCAACAACTCAAAAAAATTCCCACCATTTCATGGAAACAAAAGAACATTACTGTGTTCATAAATCCTACTGGTCCCTATCCTGGGACAGAAGAATCCAGTCCATGCTGTCCTACCCTATTAGGTGGTATTTAAAATATTAAATTTGTAAAAATATATTTTATTATGCAGCTGCACAAATTAACAGCATTCTTTACATAAATATTGGTCTTTTCATGACCATGTCTATTTTCTAATTTAATTTAATAACAAAAACACTTCTTTTAAAAGTAATTTCTCTCATTACTTGGATATGAGGAAAAGCATGTTAAACCCGTTAACTGTTCTCTAAACATATCCCAGCTCACAGTCCATACATTCTATCCAATCTGCAAATATCAATAACACATTTAAGCTAATATAACCAGCCGCTTTATAAATAATCCATATATTATTGCAGGCAGGATCCTAACTTTTGGGACAGTATGGCTAAGAAGGAGTGACTAACCTTCCCTACGATTCCGCAGATGCCGGGCATCCATGAGACGACGGTACGTGTAGCAGTAAACATGGCGGACACACCATGACTCCAGCCCCAGGCAATGCTCAACATGTAGTACAGGTGACTTGTTGTGGTTCACAGTCACAGGCACAATATCAAACTCTTTCCTACAACACAAACGCACAACACACATTTCGGTTTAGTTCTGAAGTAAAAAACAATGCTTATGATTTATGTTCTCTATGCAGTATCCAAACCAACAGCTTAAAAACTCTCATCAAGTAGCGACATTTGAGAAATGAGAAAGCACTGAGGTCCCTCATTTCATAACCATTAAAGCTGTATCACGGGGAGTATTGTGCTCTGGGATGTGACGCCATGTAGTCATATAGAAGTTTGCTGATGTTTCAGAAGAACACATGGTTAAAGAGTAGGCCAAGCAAATAGCTAGCAAGTGGCAGGCAGCAAGTAGAGCTAAATAAACTTTCCTAAGCAAGGCAGCATCTTCCTCAGATATGTCAGTGAACTTCTGCCAGACTACAGTGTCACATCTCACAAGACAGTATTCTTTACAATCAACTCTGTAAGAACTCTGTATATGTCACTGGGTCCAGAAGGAATGACCACCTTCATATACCTTCAACACATTTATCATCCTATCAGAGGGGGGTGTATTATTCAGGCGTCAAGCTATTTACTACTTTTCTGTCAAATATCACAGTTTTAAAAAATGATAAAAAGCAATTTAGGTTTGGTTAGACTTGAAACGATTCTGACGATGGTGTATACTGTACTTCTTTTGGCTTATTTTGGACTTCATCCATCATCTAGTATGTAAAAGACGAAAGACCACGACGTTTCGGAGACTGGATCTGTCTCCGTCTTCAGGTGGGTATGGAAAGATAAACCTACGCAGTTGGGCCCATTAGAAAGAGCTAGTCGCAATCACCCAATCCCCAATCACTGGGTGATTGAGACTCGCTCTTTCTAACGGGCCCAACTGAGTAGGTTTATCTTTCCCTACCCACCTGAAGACGGAGACAGATCCAGTCTCCGAAACGTCGTCTTTCGTCTTTTACATACTAGACGATGGATGAAGTCCAAAATAAGCCAAAAGAAGTACAATTTAGGTTTGTTTTATGAAATTATTTGCAAAGTAACTCATTTTACTCTATTGATGAATTTATCAAGCATACAAGGGGCTCAAAAGTTAAGAGTAAATAAATGGTCTGTGTGCGTGAATTTGTTGTAAGTGTAGTAATATGTAAGATGTCTGTTTGTATTATGAATTTTAATATTTTATAATGTAACTGTTTCGATGATATGGCTTGCCAGAGAGAGAGAGTGCGTGCGTGTGCGTGTGTGTGTGGAATGTCAAGGTGTGAATCTGACAGTGGTTTTTCCATGACCTATGTGTGTTGTCCTGACAACTTGAGCTATCTGTGAGGCCTGATTACATATTTTATTGGACCAATCAATAGTTGGATAAGTATTTTAACTGATTTGTGCTCTTTGAAACTTGACGACTATAAAAGCATGCAGGAATATGTTAATGCCTTCATGTCAATAAATCTCAGATTAGTCTCAATGGACAAAAAAATAGAAGATGAGCTATTAGCTGCATTAATGTTAAAGGGTTTAACTAAAGAGTATTATCCCATGCATATGGCGCTTGAAAACTCCAACGTAACTCTGACTAGTGAGCTCATTAAATCTAAGCTATTGCAAGACACTGAATTTGGTAAAAATGCAAATTCAGATTCAGCCTTTCTGTCCACAGATAAGTTTAAACGTAAACCACCAAACTGTCAAATTTGTGGTAAGCTAGGCCATATAAATAAAAACTGTTGGTTCAAAGATAAGGATAAGGCAAACAATAATAATCATAACAATCAGCATAAGCAAAAATTTAAGAGCAACCAGTCTTCTAAATCAGTTAATAGTACTGATGAAAATAAAGAAGGATCCGATCATAGGTGTAATGAAAATAAATGGAAAAATAAGACCAGTAAAAGATCCATGTATATGGTATCTGCCCATCATGTTAAAGTTAAGGATGACACTTGGGTAATAGACTCTGGTGCTTCACACCATATGACTGGAAATAAGACTATTTTGCAAAATTATGAAACACATGATTCTAAAGAACATGAAATAACCCTTGCTGATGATAACATGTTAACCAGTGCAGGTTTTGGTGATGTAAAACTTATGAATGACAATTATAGCCATATCTCAGAAGTATTGCATGTACAGGGATTGTCTACAAATTTGTTTTCTGTAAACTAAATTGTAAATAAGGGTACAATTGTGTTATTCACCAAAGACTGTTGCAACTTATATGATTCTGATGATTTTGAGGTAAGAGGCAAAGTTCTTGCCAAAGCATATCCCGAAAATGGGATTTATTGTTTAAATACCAAAGCTAACATGACCCAATCTGCAAATATAGCAACTAAAGATAAGTTTAATACCAAAGAGAAAAATGTGAAAAATCTTGTATTAATATTGTAAAGAATGAACAAGTTGCAAGTACCCTGCAAGTTGATGAACAACTGTTGTGGCATAGGCGTTTGGGGCATTTAAATAGGGTTAGCATGCGGTTGCTAAAAAAGGGTTTAGCTAGTGGCATCAACTTTCAAGAAGAAGATCAGTCAAAGAAATGTGTTCCATGTCTGGAAGGCAAAATGACAAAGAAGCCTTTCCTACAATCAAAGAACAAACGGTCAAAAATAATACTTGATCTATTACATTTAGATCTGGTTGGGCCATTTGAAGTACCCTCTTATGGGAATGCTATATATTTTTTGACTATCGTGGATGATCATAGTAGAAAAATCTTCATTCGTTTCTTGAAACAAAAAGGTGACACATCTGAAGCCTTTAAAGAATTTATGAAAATGATTGAGACAGAAACTGGATTGACAATAAAAGCTGTTCGTTCTGATAATGGTGTTGAATTTTGCGGCAAATTATTCAATGACATGTTAAAACAAAAGGGAATCAAAAGGGAATTCTCTGTGCCGTATATTCCACAACAAAATGGAACTGCTGAAAGAGCTAATCGCAGCATTTTGGAAAAAACAAGATGTATATTGTATGATTCCAGCTGCAACAAAAGATACTGGGCTGAAGCAGCTCAAACAGCCGTGTATCTTTTAAACAGATCACCTCATTAGAAACTAAAGAATCAATTGCCTGAAGAAATATGGACAGGAGAAAAAATTGATCTCCCATATAAAAATTTTTGGATGTCCAGCGTATGCACATATACCATCACACCAAAAATTGGATGCTGTAAGCAAGAAATATATTTTTATGGGATATAGTGAGGAAAGTAAAGCTTATCGGTTATCAGATCCCCACAATCCGTCTCAAATAATTGTGGCAAGAGATGTGGAATTTCTGGAAGAAGAAATAACAAACAAGAAAGAAAGTGAGAAAGGATTTCAGCTTAAAGACATTCTTCCAATGTCATTAAGTTTCTACCTTGACTCACAAGATGAAACAATGATTCCGCAAGAACAAAACCCTGAAGAACAAACACAAGTAGAAGATGAAGGAAATGAAGTTCCATTAGAGCCAGATGGTTTAGAACAATTACAAGGAAACTTGGAAGAAAGAAGATATCCACTTCGAAACAGGAAACAGAAAGAATTTCCAGATTTTGTTAGCTACTTAGCCATGCATAAAGATGAGGAGTCAGGACCAGTCATATATGAAGAGGCACTGTCAAGCTCCGATAAATCTAAATGGGAAGAAGTCATTAAGAAGGAATTAAAGGCCTTTCAAATGAACAAAGCATGGACAATAGCGGATAGATAGTCAAATAAGCCAGTAGTGAAATCAAAATTGGTCTTCAAAATTAAACGAGATGCTGAAGGAAATGTCACATGTCATAGAGCACATTTAGTGGTGAAAGGTTGTAGCCAAACAGAAGGAATAGACTATTTCGAAACTTTTGCTCCAGTGGTGAAACATTCTTCAATGCGATTGTTATCTGCTTTAGCTGCAAAGCATGATTGGAACACTGACCACCTTGATGTCTGTACCGCATTTTTAAACGGAGATCTTGAAGAAGTTATATATATGGAGCTTCCTGAAGGATATGACATTAAGGGGGAGTCTAATAAAGTTTGCAAATTAAGAAAATCATTTTACATACTGAAACAAGCTGCTAGGTCATGGAATAAGAAAGCAACAGAGGTTTTAAAAGGCCTAGGGTACAGGCAAACTTGTTCCGAACCATGTATTTATATCACACAAAAGGGTAATTCTGTAATTAATATAGCATTGTATGTTGACGACTTCTTCATATTTCACAATGACAATGTTGAAGTTGAGAATATAAAAGGAAAATTGCAACACTGTTTTAAAGTCAAGGATTTGGGACCAGTTAAGAAATGTTTAGGAATGGAAGTGAAAAGAGATACGGCAAAGAAAACTATAAAGTTGACCCAAACTCAATATTTGAATAATGTTCTTAGAAGATTTAATATTCCAAATGAGACTAAACCTGTTAGTCATCCAATGGAACCAAACAGCAAACTGAAACCATTGCCTAAATCAAGAAAATCAACTGAGAATTTAGATAACATGCCATATCAACAGGCTATAGGATCATTATTAACGTATTTAGTGGTGTGCACGCGCCCAGATATATCCTTTGCTATGACTTACCTAAGTCAATTTAACACTTGTTACACAAGAGAACACTGGGTATTATTAAAAAGAGTTCTAAAATACCTAAATACTACAAAGGATGTAGGTATTGTATATTCCCAGAACGATGATCAATTGGAAGGTTTTGCCAGTGCAGACTGGGGAGGAAATTTAGATCGTAGATCCTTCAGTGGATCTGTGTTCAAACTATCAGGAGCAGCTATCAGTTGGTGATGTAGAAAACAAAGGACTGTAGCCTTGTCAGCCACAGAAGCAGAATATATGGCGTTATCAGTGACCGCGAAAGAAGCCATTTTCTTAAGAAAATTATGGTTTGAAATATGTAACAAGGAAATCACTGTTCCCATTTCTTGTGATAATCGTGGCGCTTTAGCCATAGCAAAGAATCCTATCAGTAATGACCGAACAAAACATACTGACATAAGGGTTCATTTTGTAAGAGAGAGGGATGAATCAAAGGTATTGTCAGTACATTACATTCCTGGAAATCAGTTAGTTGCTGATGGTTGCACGAAAGGTTTAAATGTACGGAAACATACTGATTTTATTAATTCACTTGGATTGTGCTAAGAATGATGTTTCCTAATGATATTCTGAATAATAATAATTTTTTGATATATTCACAACGAATAAGTATTTAAAATAAAAACTCCAAAATTGTTTAAGGGGGAGTGTTATGTTGGCAACTCTCAAATACTGAAATATAATGTTAGAGTTGGCAACATCATAGTAAACAACTTAAGAACTATGTTATTTCTTGTCACCTAAGTGATGTTCACTGTTATGTGTAACTACAGTTACATGTGTAACAACAGTATCTTTATATTGTTATGTGTTACTATGGCTATAAGTAGGGCCCGGATTTCTATGACATGTCATATTTTTTCCTGGGGTTCATTCCTATTTTTAAATGTAATTATGCATGTTTCCAGTCATTCTTATTGAAATTATGTCGTCTTTATTGTGCATATAAATGCATATTTTAGAGTTTTATTGGTTTTACAGCATATTTTGGCATAATTTTGAAATAAGGTCATATTTTTGTCATTTTAGAAACAATTCTTTGATATAATGTAAAATTTCGGCTCCATAATGTTTAGTATTACAAAATAAATTTCAGGCTGGACTGTTGCTTCAATGTGGAATAGAGTTCAAGTACATGAAGTTCGTATTAAAAACCATATTTTTGACTGGACTGTACTTGCAGTTACAAAGG